GGCTTTTTTCTTTTTGCTTATGTGGTGCTGAGGAATCGAACCCAGGGCCTCATGCATGCAAGGCAAGCGCTCTACCACTGAGCCACCTTCCCAGCCCCAATTTCCAACTTTCTGTATAACTAAATAAGAGGTATGTCAGTTAAACACTGGGTTTTAGCTAGGGGCAAACATTAGTCACTGCTGATTAATTCTAAAACTCTATGCTACTTCCCATTTTAAGGGTCTATCAGTGTAGTGCTCTTCCCCAATAAAAGGTACCAGGACAGTAACAGGCTTAAGGCAGGAAAGGAGAAAAGGACATAGGAGCTAAAGACAAAATTCTGCTTTTTTGTATAAGGAGAGTGTTATTTCCTCTAGGGCCACACCAATGAGGTTGGTTACAAAACAGCCCAGGACAAGAATGTCTGATTATATTTACTCCAGAAAAACTTATGTCTAGGCAAAGAGTGTCATTGCAGTATTTTATTTCACAAAGTAACTTGAGATAATAATCACTTGGCACATAGCTTTTATTAGTCTATTATGCAAGAATGATAGAAGCAAATCATTCAGAGCTAGTTATAGCAGAATAGGCTGTCACAGTTTATCAGGAATGTCTGATTCTTCCTTAGGCTTTGGCAGTGTCTGGTCCATGTGCCCCTACTCAGGGTTGGGCCAGATGCTAAAGTTCCCTGGGCCTTCCTCTAATGTCACAGTGGCTCCTGCCCTCAAAACGCTGAGTAGATGGCTCTCCTTTCTTTAGGGATACTGGCTTCACACGAGGAGTTAGAGGTGCAGAAGGACTATCACCTCCAGAAGAGTCAAGTCCACAGTTTTTCCCACAGTGGGTAGATCCAGTCTTTGTGGAGCTTCAGTGAGTTTGCTTGTAACACAGTCGCTTCTTTGTACCTTTGTTTCTTGAGATTATCTTGGGCGTGGATCAAAATGGAAGAATGTTACTCTGTTATTCATGAACATAAATATATTTCCGCTCAAGTTACAAGCAGCCTTTAGTTCTGTCATGGAGCATGCAACGTATAGACAGGCAGTACACCGCTATGAAGCGGGTTTCCTCTCAGTGCTTTACTCCTCCTGACACTCAGTCTGAGAAACACAATAAAGCTCCCAAGCAGTAAATTTTACATCTTTATTTATCTATTTGATTAAGAAATTATATAGGTCTCAGCTTCTTGATAATTACTATTGGGGGCTAAAAATTTAAATTCTTTCAAGAATATCATTCACAGCTGCCATTAACTTTTAAAGATACCTAAATTCTTCTCCAAATTATCCTTTTGAAATAATGAGAGCTGAACTGGAGTCTTACCTGTGAAACATATGCTCATGTGATGTATTGTAATCCAAATGTTCTGTAGGCTAGACTAGATTTATTGATCCCTGTCACTGTGGAGAATTAGCCTTAAGTTTTGTTTTTACTTCTGCAAATGTTTGGAGGAAAGGCCTGGAACCCCAAGAATGTCATCTGTGAAACTCCATTTCTGGCATTCATTGGTGCTGATCAGAGATAAAAGTTAGTTGACATACTTTTATCTTTCCAGCATGTCTTAAGCAAATGTTATTAACCACCTGAGTGTTCAGGTTCCTAGTTAGGACAACACTGTCCCCCACAAGGCATAGAGCAAAAATGTACACATTTGTATCTCATTGTGTCTGCTTAAATGTGCTAAAAAACAGACCATATGATACCATTTGTGTTTTTACACTGAAGTATTGTAATAGTCTCTTCTTCTCTCCTTTTCCCAGAGATTTTTTGAATACACAGATAAATAAACTTACCTTTCTTTCATCCTTTTAAAAAATTTTCACCTTACAGCTTTAAGAAATATTATGTGTTTATTGAAGAAAATATGGAAAATTCAAAGAGACAGAAGGAAATCATTTGTTACCTCACATTTTTTATTATATATTAGGGATCAAAACTCATCCATTTTTTATGTATCTAGCCCATTAAAAGACAAAATTTGGCTGGGTGCCTGTGGCTCACAACTGTAATCCTAGCTACTCAGGAGGATCACGTTCAAAGCCAGCCTGGGCAGGAAACTCCGTGATACTCTTATCTCCAATAACCACTAGAAAACCGGAAGTGGTGCTGTGGCTCAAGCGGTAGAGGGCTCACCTTGAGCTGAAGAGCTCAGGGACAGTGCCCAAACCCAGAATTTAAGCCCTATGACCAAACAAAAAAACAAAAAAAAAACATAATTTGTCAGGTGCATTGACTTGTATCTGCTACTTAAGCATCAGAGATGTGGAGAATTACTTCTAGAAGCAAGTCTAAGGAAAAAGTTATCAAGACTCTCAATCTCAACACAAAATAATCCCAGTGTAGTACTGTGGGTCAGTAATCTAAAATATGGAGATGATCTCTGTCTAAGGGCAACCCAGGCAAAAACTAAAGACAGTATTGGAAAAATAACCTAAGAAATAAAAAGAGTCTTGGTGGGCCCTAAGTTCAAATCCCAGATCCCACTACCACTATCAAAAAGGGAATGAACTAAAAAAAAAAGAAAGAAAGAAAAAGAGAGAAAAGAAAAGAAGACACCGTCTGAGATCTTACTTTATCATGTAACAGTGTATTTCTTTGAGTCATTAACTATTTAATAATGTGGGTTTTTAATAGCTACATAAGATCTCATTGTGTGGCTAGATCATAATTTATTTAAACAATTCCATATTGCTAAATGTTTACCATCTTTCCAGTTAACTATTGTGGGGAGCCGGGGCGAACGCCATTACAAGGTGCCGCCGCCCACTTCCTTGCAGTTTTGAGGTAACTCCATATTAGGCAGTGCTTGGCAGGACGGTGGGTCCTGGGCTTTGCGCATGCGCGAGCCATGTAGAGTCCCCAGCCAATCCCGTGGCACCTGGTGACGGCGAAAGGCAGACGACCAATGGGAAAACGACAGTGTTCCTATTCCCTATATAAGCGGCCATGTTTTGTGTACACGCGCTCTCGCGCTCAAGCTCTCCCATCAATTCAAAGGCTCTCCAATAAAGCGTGTTCTGAGAAGACTCCTGGTGTGGTGGTCGTTCTTCCTCGCTGGCCGAGAAGGCGTTCGCCGCAAACTATTAAAGGCATTGCCAGCCTCTCAATACTTGATTCCCTAGGGCTTGCTTCTTGTGTCTCCTTCATATCCTCGGTCCTTAGCTACGACAATGTTTATCTTTCTCTTCAGTTCTGTCTTATACTGTTCTTTAATACGGTTTCTATAAAGCTCTTTAATTTTTAGCTTCTGCTTGAGATGAGCCTTATAATTGGATAAACTAGGTTAAAATACTGTTGGGATTTTTAATACCTTAATTAATATATTTCTTTATTTTTAAAAAACGATTTTAGGAGTATATATCCTGGGGAAATACGGACAGAAAAAAATTAGAGAAATACAGGAAAGAGAGGCTGCAGAATATATTGCTCAAGCCCGACGACAGTATCATTTTGAAAGTAACCAGAGGACTTGCAATATGACAGGTGAGGCGAAGAGAAATGTTTATTCATGTACAGAGTTGTTTGTTGATGTGTATTAATTCATAAATTTCCAGCACTGCAATTAGAGGAAGAGACAAATGATTGATCTAGTGCATATTTGTATTAACTGAAATATATTATTTTAACGTTGACTTGTTAAAATCAATATAAATTTTTATTCTTTGTTTTGGGCAGTTTGGGTTTTTATTTGTTTGGGGGTTTGTTTTTGTGCCAGTCCTGGAGCTTGAACACTGGGCTTGGGTGCTATCTCTGGTTTTTGGCTCAAGTCTAGCGCTCTACTTCTGGGGTTTTGTTGTTGTTGGTGGTGGTGGTGGTGGTTATTGGAGATGAGTCTCCTGGGCTTTCTGGCCCAGGCTGGCTTTGAGCTGATGTCCTTAGATCTTGTCTTCCTGATTAGCTGAGATTGTAAGCATGACCCACCAGTACCTGGCTCTTATTCATTTATCTATTCACTCAGCAAATACTTGGAGTGCCCAGCACCAGGGAAATAAACAGGGAACAGTAAAAGTAAAAATAGCCAGGCACCAGTGCCTCATGGTAAAGATTCCAGAATAGTGCCACCACCAGGTGCTAGCATCTCCAGGGAATAGATAACCCTTCAAAGTGAAAAGGCACTAAAATTTCAGTAGAGAAAGAAAAATGGGCTGGCGCTGGTGGCTCACACCTGTAATCCTAGCTACTCAGGAAGCTGAGATCTGAGGATCACTGTTCAAAGACTTAGCTCCAATTAACCACCAGAAAACCAGAAGTAGAGCTGTGGCTCAAGTGGTAGAACACTAACTTTGAGGTGAAGAACTGAGGAACAGCACCCAGGTCCAGAGTTCAAGCCCCACAACCAAAAAGAAAGAGAGAAAGGGAGGGAGGAAGGGAAAGAAAGAGAGAAAGAAGAAAGAGAGAGAGAGAGAAAAGGGATAGGAGAGGAGAGAGAAGTGAAGAAAAGGGGACAGGAGGGAAGAGAAGTAGAAGAAGGGGAGGGGAAGGGAGGGGGGGGAATAACCATAATCCATACTGTACAGATCACCACGGTGTTGACATCTAGGAATAATAACTCTTATGCATGTACCTAACTATATGGCTATAATCTTGGTATATATGTAATTTTGTTCTATTAACATATGCTAGTAAATTATTTATTAGCACATAATAGTAACTCTTTTAATGATAATATTTGAAATTCTCTAACCTTGTCATTCCCTCCCAGCTCTTGCTGGTTACTAATATGGTCATGTGGGCAACTAGAACATGCATTTCCAGTGATGGCAGGCGAATTGCTTGTGATTTTCTATTTCTGTTGTCTATTTGTATTACAGTACTGTCCATGCTCCCAACACTAAGAGAGGCATTAATGCAGCAGCTTAACTCAGAAAGCCTTACAGCTCTGCTAAAAAACAGGTAATTGAAAATTATGGCATTTTTCAGTTTTGGACTGCACTTACATAGTTTATAGGTTGAACTAAAATATTTATTAAAAGGCTTAGCTTCCTTATTTTCTTTATAAGAAAAGCTTGTGATATATAAACTCAGTTTAAAAACAAATGAGTATTTTACTAAATCCATTTTATTTTGTTCATTATTTAGACTCTTTCATTACACAGAGCTTTTAGGGCAATAAAACATTCACACATTGTTTGTCATAAAACTAGATTTCCTATTATTTTGACATTATAAAGAAATCTTAGCATTGAGAGCTTACGGAATGTCTTCCTAACCCAGCTTACCTCCCTAAATTGTTTCCACTGTAATAAATATTATTCACATACATTATAAATAGATAAGCCATATGATTTACTATAAACAAAATGACCAGGTAATTTACATCAACATGTCACTTCGGGAAGCACAGGAGAGGGGTGTGCAGGAAATCAGTATGTACCAGGCACTCACCGGACCATGGAGCTCCAGCCCTAACACTCATTATGTTTTCTGACTTTTTTTTCCTTTAGGCCTTCAAACAAGATAGAAATATGGGAGGATCTAAAGATAATAAGTAAGCCTACATATTCTGTGTGACAGCACATCCTTGAACTGTTTATAAGGGAAGTTTTTTGTTCTATATCATATGAGTGTCTTTTTACCTTATAAAGTCTTCAGGATTATAAAACACTCATCAAGTAGATGAGTAGATATAATATCCAGTCACAGAAAATAATGAGTGGTGGTGGTGGTGGTATTATCATTGTTGTTCTTATGATAGTTCTGATATTTTTAACAGTGTATGTATGTGTGTATGTATATAGAGAGTTGTATCTATAGGTAATTTTTTCCCCTTCTGGTAATAAGGTACTCATGACCTTTTATCCTCACTCGATTTTTTTCTACTCATGGCTGGTGCTTTACCACTTGAGCCTTGTCCTCAGTTCCTACCCTTATATGTTAAAGGAAGTTTGTATGTCATCTAATAAAGTAGCTTTACCATGTTATTGTATGAAAACTTTCATTCCTGATAAAAATTTGAAGTGTTTACCTGGAGCCTGTATATGTCTTTATGTCTCAAAAACTCAATAGTAGAAATCATCCCTTTGTTTTCCCATCCACTAAACTAATTCTTATCAACAGAATAATGAATGGAACCTTTCTAGAATCCTCTAGTCCTTTTCTGCTATTACACTTTTTCTCACTCCCTGTGGCCAAAACTTTCCTCATTCCCTTTTTTTCAGTCCTTCACTCCCACTCATTCTTTGATACATTGTAGCCTGGCTTTTCTTCTCTTCCCTCCACCCAAGCAAATTTCCCAGCATGAGTAGTAACTTCTATGTCTCTAAATCCCCTGGATGCCTTCCTCCTACTAGATCTCTTGGCCATCTCCTCTGCCCTCTGTCTTCAACAGCCACATGCTCTTCTGCCTTGAAGCTTACTTTTCTCTTTCTATACCTTCCTTCAGTACATGGCTGGCTTCTACTCCTTTGCCTGCCATAGAAGAACAATAGCCCTCTTCTCTTAAATCTATAATGGCCCCTTTGAACAACTCAGCTTTATTTCATTTTATTTTAGTGTGTGTGTGTGTGTGTGTGTGTGTGTGTGTGTATTTGTTTGTTTTTTCTTTCTGGTTTTGTGATAGTGGTGCTGCTCATATGTTAAGTATGAGATATTTTGAACTAATACATTTTCATATTTGATATAGTTATAAATACATTTTAAAGATACTTTATTCTTTTAAAAAGGCATAGGGATAGTTCAGGATTTCACACATTTCCTGGTGTTTTAATAACAACACAAGGGTTATTTTTTTTCTCTCTCTCTGAAGGTTTCACAAGAAGTGTTGTGGCCGTGTACAGCACCTGTATGCTGGTTGTTCTTTTGAGAGTCCAGTTAAACATAATTGGTGGATATATTTACCTGGACAATGCAGCAGTGGGCAAAAATGGCTCTGTAAGTTTAGTGGACATAATTGCATGTTGCTCTTTCAGGAAGTTCAGTTTGAGCGTTTACTCATTTTTGTAATGTATTTTACAATGCATATACCTTTATATTTCATAAGATTGTAAGCTTTTAGCACTCTGATTTTTAAAAATATTTTGGAAGTAGACTTTCTGCATGTTAAAGAATATTATTCCTACCATCCCAGAGCCTGAAAAATCTCAAATTCTACCAAAAATATTGCTTCTTTAATAGTGGACGTCTTGGGGGGAAGGGGGAGGCTGGGAAGGGATGTGAAGGGTAAACAAAAGGAGGAGGCTGCAATGCTTGGTAAGAAATGTACGCATTATCCTGCCCATGTAATTGTAACCCCTCTGTACAGTATCTTCACAAATAAAATTAAAAAAAATAGTGGACGTCTTGAATAATGTAACTTTATTTCTGTTTTGTGCAGACAGCTCTCGCTCCCCCAGACGTCCAGCAGCAGTATTTATCAAGTATCCAACATCTCCTCGGAGATGGTAAGACTCTACTTTGTGGCCTCTATACCGATTTCATTTATTTGTATTATTGAGGACTTATCTAGGGGAACAAGGCTTCTCATCATGTTTCTCCCTTAATAGGTCTGACAGAACTGATCACTGTCATTAAACAAGCTGTGCAAAAAGTTTTAGGAAGGTAAGGTATTTTTCTGACTTCTTGATTCTGGTGAATTACAGAAAAAGTAGAATTGTTCCAGTGAAGTTAGTGACTTGACAAATGGTGAACTGTGAAACTATTTGTGATAATACGGATGCCAGCCCTCAGTACTGCTTTGTAGAGTCCCTTTTTTTGTAAGTCTCCACCTTTACATATTGGGCAGAAACATTTATTTATTTCCAAACAAATCAGAAGAATTTGGATTATGAAATTAACAATCTACTTTAAAATCTGCTGCTGAGACTTTTACCTCCCACTTATACTAACAATATCTATAATTATAGTAGGGATTTTATTATGTAATCTGTAGCAAAGGTGAATTTCCTTGGCTTCATAATAATGACCTGCAACTGGTGTCTGGTTTCTCCATTCTAGTCCAGTTAGCATTTTGTGATTTGACCAGATAGAACAAGTTTGCAGACAGGTCTGTTATGAAAGAGTGTGTTAGCCTGGTGCCAGTGGCTCATGCCTGCAATCCTAGCTACTCAGGAGACTGAGATCTGAGGATCATGGTTCAAAGCCAGCCCAGGCAGAAAAGTCCCCATGTGAGACTTATCTCTGATAAACTACTCAGAAAAAGCTGGAAGTGGCACTGAAGCTCAAGTGGTAGAGCACTAGCCTTGAGCATATAAAGAGGCTCAGTGACAGTACCTAGGCCCTCAGTTTAAGCCTTAGGACTGGCGAAAAAGAAAAGGATGTGTTTGAAATGTATTATCTAGTTTCAATTTATTCCAATTGTCTATGTTTCTAGTGTTTCTCTTAAACATTCTTTATCCCTTTTGGACTTGGAGCAAAAACTAAAAGAAATCAGAACTCTTGTTGAACAGCATAAATCTTCTTCTTGGATTAATAAGGATGGATCCAAATCTCTATTATGCCATTATATGATGCCAGATGAAGAAACTCCACTTGCAGTCCAGGTGTGTAATTCTTAACCATTGAATCAGGTTGTTGTTCTCTGTTTGTTATTCTTGAAATTAGATTTCTGAGTCTCTTGAAAAGTGATTGAATTTTTTTTTTTTTTTGGTCAGTCATGGGGCTTGAACTCTGGCCCTGGCGCATTCCCTCAGCTCTTCAGCTCAAGGCGAGCGCTCTACCACTTGAGCTGCAGCACCACTTCCGGTTTTCTGGTGGTTTATTGGAGATAGGAGTCTCACAGTCTCTCCTGCCCGGGCTGGCTTTGAACCGCGATCCTCAGATCTCAGCCTCCTGAGTAGCTAGGATTACAGGCGTGAGCCACCAGCGCCAGAAAAGTGATTGAAAGACATGTGTTCCAATAATTTAAATAAAACCATGCTAAAATAGAAAATAAAACATGGCTGATTTCTAGTTTAAATCACTTACCATTTTAGCTACTTATATTATTTAGTAATAATATGAAACAGACACTGAAATATATATATATAGATAGATATCTCTATGTAGATATATATCTATCTATATATATATATGCCAGATGTAAAACAAGGAATATATACATTATACTTGGAAAATTCTAGAGGCAACGTCTTCAGTGTATCTATAGAGCTATGAGTGTGAGATCAAACGGCAGAACCTAGGGCAATATTATGTTAGGGCAAGATCATGAAGAGTTTCGTATGCCAGGAAAAGGAATCTGAGCTCCAATTTGTGGCCATAAATTTAAACTACATTCAAACATACTTTCAAAAATAAATAATGTCTTGGGAGTGGCACTATAGCTTAAAAGTGGTTAAGTGCTAGCCTTGAATGAAGAATGCTCAGTGACAGTACTCAAGCACTGAGTTCAAGCCCCACCACTGACAAATAAATAAACAATATAAATAAATAAATAAGGAATGTCAGCAGGAAAATGACTGGAAGAAAGCTGTAATCATCTAGTTGAGAAACAAAAAAAGACTATAATATTAACAGTTATCACCTCTGGCATTGGTACATACTGTGTATCCTGATTACTTGTTATATAAGTTATTCATTGATTAAGAGCAATAAAAATGCCAAAGATTGCATGCTATGTAGCTTATCTTTTTTTTTGGGGGGGGGGGCGGGGGGGCTTGTCGTGGGGCCTGAACTCGGCCTGGGCGCTGTCCCTCAGCTCTTCAGCCACAACACCACTTCTGGCTTTTTTCTTTTTGCTTATGTGGTGCTGAGGAATGGAACCCAGGGCCTCATGCATGCAAGGCAAGCACTCTACCACTGAGCCAACTTCCCAGCCCCTATGTAGCTTATCTTAAAATTAGTAATTTTTCATTTATAAATTGAATTAAACTTAAATTTTCAGCGATTGGGATATTAGCTCTTACTTATCCAGCAGAGCCTCGGAAGCTGTAATACTTCAGCATAGAGCCCCATTAATAGAATGCCATGTTCTCATTGATGGCAGATTTTTCCTTTCCCTTTCCCTAGACACTCCACAGATGACCCCCTAGGGGGGAGACACTGTATTTATGAGTGGTCCAGAAAAGAAGAAAAAAGTCACAATCTATTTGAGGTATTCTGTGATTTGAAAGACAGAGACTAAACTGAACAAAGGGGACAGAAGTAAAGAAAGAAAACAGAAAAAAAAACTTACAAAATAGGACCTCAAGAAAATACAATAAAAACGATCATCAGTGACCTTTCACCAAATAAGAAGCTTTCTGGAGCTAGGAAACAGTAGCAAATTTTAAAATTTAATAGTGGAACTAAAAAGAAAATGGTTCAAAGGGATGGGTAAAGATAGGACAATGCACCAAATCCTACTGAAACAGAAAGTCAGACTGAAAAAACACCCATATTTCCTGATAAAATCTCTTCAGAGTGACAGAAAAATATACCTCCTCTGCATTCTTCAAACCTACCTTCTTCCTTGTCTGTATATGCTAGAATTCAACCAAAGAAGGTCCAAATAAAGACCTTACAGCCTTATATAGGTTTAAGACTTTGGAATTAGTTCTGATTCTTGATAGAACTTATGCTTTTAAATTTCCAGAATTTTTTAGTTTGTGACTTTGACCAGTTACTTCATGATCCTCTGCTAATATCTGCACACTGAAATGTGGCATTCTCATTTTACAGGCCTGTGGGCTTTCTCCGAGAGACATTACCACTATTAAACTTCTCAGTGAAACTAGAGACATGTTGGAAAGGTATGTAGACTGCATGTAAAGGAAACTGTGTTTGTACTTTATATGAACTTAACACTTGTTAGTGTTTCTTGAACAGATAGTCAACATTGCATTAAAAATTAAATTTTAAGTCTGTTCCTGTGCCTTCAGGAAGGATTTCCTGCCTAAAGTAGATGGAATGGTTTTTTTTTTTTAAGATACCCACTGTTTAAGATCCTGATCTACTGTTAAAGAGTCAGAAAATAGTAGCATTTATATTTTGATAAACCATCCTATAATAATTCTTGTATACTATATATATATATATATACACACACACACACACACACACATACATACATACATACATACGTACATATACTAGCACATGGTCAACAAGCAGCTCTGTTAAACAGAAACAAAAAAGTAAAATTTAACCACCAAAACTGAAACTGTAGCCACATGCTGTGGCTATCAAATTGAAGTTCAGCTACCCAGTTGAAGCTACTGAATGATAAAGTGGGGAGGTAGGAAGAACTGTTCTTGTTTCTTGAGAGCAAGCACTAATCAGCTCTACTCAGCCCTCTAGTATGCACATATGTTTGTACATACACACACACACACAGTTAGACACCATCTTCAGAATGACTCATTAACCCTAAATCAGTTAGAGTAGACAATGATGTTAATAAAACCTCTTTTGGTTGTTTGTATTTTGTTAGACAGGGTCTTGCTCTCAAGTCTTAACTGATCCTGAACTCACAGTCCTCTTACCTTAGCATCCTAAGTGCTAGGATTAGAGGTGTGCAATATCACACCTAGCTCCTAAAATCTTTGAGTGATAAAAATTTCACTTCCTGTCTAAACTGTTGCTGTTTTGAAGCACCCAAAATAGAGGCAGAGTCAGAAACTGAGAAAATAACATATAAAAGACAGTGCATATAAGACCCCATGAACTGAATTCAAGGCTGCTCAACCTTAGCTGAGCCACTTAAACTTTTAAGGTAATTTTATCATTGAGAAATACCATAGTATCTGACTATATGTTAAAGGATATAAATATCTGTTATTTTTTATTATCTTTAAGAATTGTACAAAGGAGTTGCATTTAACAAAGCAATTTATGGAAACGACATATCTTAATCAATGTCACCCCTCTGAACATTCTCACACAACCATCCTCTGGCTACCCCTTCCCTCATTCTTCTTAATTTTGTAGCACATACATTGGATTCTTGAATTAATCTATTTCATTTCTCAATTAAAGATGTCAGATGCGTCCTTGGGATAATTTATGCCTTTTTTTCCCTCTAGTTCTCTTTTCTGAGGAAATGATATTCCTTTCTTAGGATAACTTCTTCTTGATCTTGAAGAAAATCAGCACTGATAGTTAGAACTGAGTCACGAATCCCATGTCAAAATTTGTCAGCGCTTTGTCTTTGTCCAGTAGCCACTGATTCTTGTTTTCTTTTCAGATCTTCACCAAATCATTCCATGAGACTCTAGGAAAGGTCAATGTTGATCTTTTGCCAAATACAGGGAATATGTAATGTTCTTCTTTCTCAACTTTTCTCTGATTTTTGACACTATTGATAAAGCATTTCTTATTGTTTTGTCACATATGTGAACATATATTTTCTCTCCTAGTTCTTAGGTTCTTGTAACTCTGTCTTTCCTTTAAACATTAGTGCTTCCAGGGGATTGTTCTTATTTTATCAGCAACCTCTGATAAAATTGCATTTACACTTCCATTGCTCTAACTGCAATCTGTATGCTTATTATTCCCAAATGTAGTATTAACCTAGTCCTCTACCATGGGGCATACCCACTTCACAGAGCAAATGTTTAGTAAACCAACTCTGCAAAAAACAATTGGTCTAGAGTATGATTTCTGCATTTCAACATTAGGATTAATATATTGATTCATTTATCTTCTTCAAATATTCTTTGGTCTATTATATTAGATACTGCTTTAGGTGCCTCATGTTCATTCTTTCTGGGACTTCTAATGGGAAAAACAAAAATCCAAAAATTAATAAGCTTACTATGTTGTTAAGTATTTGTGACTTCATTGATGAAATGAGCATGTTGCCAGGATAGAGAGAGAGTAGAGATGCTGTTTGTGATAGGTTGGTCTGAAAAGGCTCTCTGAGAAGATTCGTTGGAGCAGATATGAATCCCCCGTGGATGTGAGATTTATGATTAGAGAGAGTACAGTTTGAAGAAGAACAGGTGCACAGAAGCTAATGTTTATCTTATTCAGGGAACAGCAAGGAGACCAGTGCTGAGCACAGTGACCAGGAAGTGAGGATGGAGAAATAGGATGTTGGACCTTTTAATCCATAAGACAATTGTTTATGTGGTATTTGTGATTGCTTGATTCTTTTCCATTATCATTACTTATTTAGTATTAAAAACAATACATTATGTGTATTTCAGCATTTTCCTTTATTTTCTTTCTTTCTTTTTTTAGTCAGTTGTAGGATTTGAATTCTGGGTCTGGGCGCTATCCCTGAGCTCGTTCTACCACTTGAGCCACAGTGCAACTTCTAGTTTTCTGGTGGTTAATTGGAGAAAGGAGACTCATGGACTTTCCTTGCCTGGGCTGGCTTTGAACTGCACTCCTCAGCTCTCAGCCTCCTGAGTAGCTAGGATTACAGGCATGAGCCACCGGCGCCCGGCAGCATTTTTCTTATAACATATGTAGAACCATGTAACTCACAACATGTAAGCCTTGTATGTAATGCTTTTTAAATTCTGAGATTTATAGGAAGCTATTAGAAAGTTTTAAGCAATAAGCATTGCTTTATTTTTGACTATAAAGAAACAGAAATGGGAAAAGGGAGCTAGTTTTAAAAATGTGATAGACTTAAACTAACATGACATGTTGAATTGAAACCTCTGTGCAACTACTTTAAAATTTTTTTTGAAAGAATTTGAAGCCAGGTGCGGTGGTTCATGCCTATAATCCTAGCTATTAAAGAGGCTGAGATCTGAGGATCACAGTTCAAAGCCAGCCGGGGAAAAGAAAATATGAGACTCTTATCTCCAATTAACTACTCAGAAAAGCTGGAAGTGGTGCCATGACTCATGGTAGAGTGCTAGCCTTGAGCACAGAGAGGCTCAGGGACAGCACTAGGCCCTGAGTTCAAGCCCCAGGACCAGCAAAAAAAAAAAAAAAAAAAAGGAATTTGAGCTGAGTGTCAATGAATATCTAAGAAGACTAGAAATTAGCATTTTTGGTCACTTGTACTCCAAGTGTAGTTCTCTTCTATCCCGTACAAAGTTAATGAGACCCTATATTAAAAACAAAACACAAAACAAATGAGGCTGAGAGTTGAGCTCAAGTGGTAGAGCATTTGTAAAGGAGAGTTCCTGAGTTCAACTTCTAGTTAAAAAAAGAGAGAGAATAAAACTTCAGTGGGGGAGGAGTGAAGGAAATGGGGGAGGGAAGGGATAGTAGTAGAAAAAACAATGCTGGACAAGATATGTACCCATTACCTTACTCATGTAACTGTAACCCCTCTGTGTACAGCATGTTTACAATAGAATAAAATTGTTTTTTAAAAAAGTAACTACCAAGCTAATGTCTAAATTTTTTAATTAAAAGTTAAATGTATTTTTCCTTAAAAGAAAGAGAGAGAAGGAAAGAAATGGAAAACAGAAATGAAAAGAAAAAAGAAAGTACCAGTGGCTGGTACCTGTAATCCTAGCTATTCAGGAGGCTGAGATCTGAGGATTGTGGTTCAAAACCAGTCTACAAAGAAAAACCTGAGAGGTTCTAACTCCAGTTAGATCTCCAAATAACTAGCACTAAGGTCAGAATGTCAGGCCATAAAGTAGAAAAGATGAGCAAGTACAAGCCCTTGAGTTAAAACCCTGGTGCCAGCACACACACACACACACCCCAAAAGAAGAAAGGAAGAGAGAAAGTTGTAGAGAGGAAAGGGAAGAAGACCTAAATTTACTGTGTGATCTAGTGAGTCCAAAATAAAATGAAAGCCAGCTATGGTGACCCAGACCAGGAATCCCAGTTGCTCTGGAATTGGAAGCAATAGAGAATTGTGTCTCAATAAAGATTGTAAAGCAAAGATATAGTTGGTCATTGTACGAGGATTCAGAAGATTCCCCCAAAAAGTAATACTATTGACACTTTTAAAAACACATTAGGGCTGGGAAGGTGACTCAGTGGTAGAGCACTTGCCTTGCGTGCATGAGGCCCTGGGTTCGATTCCTCAGCACCACATAAGCAAAAAGAAAAAAGCCGGAAGTGGCGCTGTGGCTCAAGTGGAAAAGCGCTAGCCTTGAGCTGAAGAGCTGAGGGACAGCGCCCAGGCCCAGAGTTCAGGCCCCACGACCGGACCCAAAAAAAAACAAAAAACACATTATGCAAAACGCTGCTTAACCTAAGAAAATCTAGGGATTTGGGTGAATTCCTAATTGTGTTGTGCTAATTATAATAAATGAATTTAATGTTTAACTTTGAAAAATTAACTCCTCCATAAATCTTTACAATACTTCAGGCTGTGAGATTGTAACTAGAATTGTGGCTCTCAGAAGTGGACACATAATTATTGAATTTTTTCCTTTTTATTGAAAAATCTAGAAAAAGTAATATATACTTCTTATTTTATGTAGCCCAGATTTTAGCATGGTTTTGAATACCTGTTTAAATAGAGGATTCAGCAGACTTCTGGACAATATGGCTGAATTCTTTCGACCTACAGAACAGGACCTCCAGTATGGCAACTCCATGAATAGGTAAGGTAACACAGAAAAATGATACCATACTCAAAACATGGTGCTTTGGGCTGTGTTTATTTTGTTGTTGGTGGTGGTGGTGGTCATGGGGCTTGAACTCTGAGCCTGCGGCTGTCCCTCAGCTCTTCAGCTCAAGGCTAGCGCTCTACCACTTGAGCCACAGTGCCACTTCTGGTTTTCTGGTGGTTTATTGGAGATAAGAGTCTCAGATTTTCCTTCCCAGGCTGGCTTTGAACCGTAATCCTCAGATCTCAGCTTCCTGAGTAGCTATGATTACAAGTATGAGCCATTGGTGCCTGGCTTTATATAATCATTTTTCAAAAATCAAACTTTGGAATTTTAAAGAAGATAGAAAAATTCTTACACCCCAAAAAACCAAAAAGAATATATTCAGAGAGTTAGGGCCTAAGTTAAAAAATAAAATACAAAATCATGAATACATACATATATGTATATAAGAATTTATCTATTAAGTCAGTTTTAATTGTTATTTCTGTGTGGAATAATTCTATTTGAGTTTTTTAAACATATTTTTGTAAGTATCCTTCAATGTCTATATTGCTTGTATAATTAAAATGTTAAAGTTGGGCACAAGTGGCTCACAACTATAATCCTAGATACTCAGGAGGCTGAGATATGAGGATTGTGGTTCAAAGCCACATCCAGGCAAGAAAGTCTGTGAAACTCTTCTCTCCAATTAACTACTACCAAAAAAGCCTGAAGTGGGCATGTAGCTCAAATTGTAGAGTGCTAGTCTAGAGCAGAAAAGTTCAGGGACTGTACCCAGGCCCTGAGTTTAAGCCTCAGCACTGGAACAAAAAAAAAAAGTTAAAATGTCTATAAGGGAATTTCAAAAATTAATTACTGTGCTAATTTTTTCAGTCTCTCCAGTGTCAGCCTGCCTTTAGCTAAGATAATTCCCATAGTAAATGGACAGATCCATTCCGTTTGCAGTGAAACACCTAGTCATTTTGTTCAGGTAAGAAGAAAGCTTGGGGGTATTTTTGAAAACAAATTGCATTCATGATGCGATCATGTTTTCTAACATAAAACTACATTCTCTGATGGTTTATTTTATAAAAACAAAAATTGGAAACTGCAATATGAGTGTGGCAGAATGCCTATAGAGTAATAATGTTTAATAGTAATTTATACAGTCGGGAATACATTTTCCATGTTACAGCATAAATACATGTTTACTGCACTATAGTCCAGACACATTGTAAGCGTTAGTTGAATTTACGTAGTGTTATCATGTGTTGTGGTAAAGATTCGGTGCCTCATAGAAACTGAGGAGGACAAGAAAATTTTGTAAAAAAATAAAAATAAAGCATTGTAGTAGTTAACAAAATATAACTATAATAGTGCATCAGTAATCCATCACTAAAAGCTGCATAAGCAATGAAGTACTTAGTTTTTTCACTAGACTACCTCCAGCTCCATCTTTTGGGGAATGCATTGAGTAAAACTGATTTTAATAGGAGTACAATGATAATTTTTTCATAGTTTTACATTCCCAAATCCCTTGGGAGAAGTTAAGCACCTTTGCTCTAAATTATGTTATTTGTCCATATGTGTTATGCATATGTAAAATATGCATACTACACATACACAAATCATGTTAAAATACAAAGTCGTGTTATGTGTATATCAAAAGTATCTGTAGGCTTACAACTTTTGTATTGCCCTCATTTATTCAGTAGAAATTCTCGTAGCACCTAACCTACACAAAGACGATTTTGGATTCTTTCCCCTATATTATACCACTGTCTTTCTCATAAGAACCTAAACAATGCATTATTTCCTATAGTCTATTACAAGAAAAAGATTCCTTCCCATAAATGGCATCCTTCTTATCCTTAAATACCACGAAGTTACAAGTAAATTCCTGGCTTATTTGAAGTGAGTTCAGATTCATCAGTGTGTCCGAACGCTACGTTTCCCTGTGTTCTTTGCTAGGACCTGTTGACGATGGAACAGGTGAGAGACTTCGCTGCTAATGTGTACGAAGCCTTCAGCACCCCTCAGCAACTGGAGAAGTGAGACTTTTTCCTTCAAGAAAAACTCGTGGGATCCATTCATGCTACAAAATACATGGAATGAATCAACTATACCTAGAGCAACAATTTGTTACCAAAATGCCTAATAAAAATATATTCTTAATCAAAGTCTTCATTTCATAATGAAGTAGATTTATTTAGCATCTTAATATATTTTTAAGTCCATCAAAAAACCAGTTTTGTGAATATATGTACACACAGTGCAAATAATGGAATTTATAGTTTGTTACACCATGGATATTTGATCCAAACTGACTAAAAACAAATGTAGATACTTTTATACATATATACTTATGAGATGAAATGTTGTATACTTTGACATTAATCTTGAGAAAAAATCTGTTTGGGAAATAGGTCTAGAATGTGTGGAGTTTGGGAAATCTGCTCTTTAATCAAAGTTACTTGCACTCTGCCTTTCTAACAAAAGTAAATCAGACTTTTCTCCAGTTATCCTTTAGAGGAATAAATGGCTGTCTCAGATACACCCAGAGGACTTTCCTTCTTATGAAAATCAGTGAACTTTAACAATTCAATCAGCTCCTTTTTCCTTTGCTATTTCTCTGTGGTATTTTCTAAGGCTTACCTTAGAGAATTTTAAACTGACCTATAAGCTAAAATTGTGTTGACACTGTGCATGGCTATTATTGATTACATAGTTTTATGTAAATAATTCTAACAACTTACTTTGTATTGATTTTGAGTACATTGAATATCTTATTGCAATAAACTATTTTAATAAAATAGAATTTTTCTAGTTAATACTTTTCAACCATTCATGTATTTGTCCCCTACTATTTTTGCTGTTATTTTTGCAGAACAGAGGTTTTTAAATTTTCATTTTAGCTGGTAAGGTGATGCTTTTCTTTTAACTTTCTTACAGAAAAAAATAAATAATACTACATTCTAAAAAAGAACTGATTGATTATATCTATACATTTAGAAGTGCAATGAGGTCAGAAATAAATGAATCATTGTCCTCAGTGTCAGTATCTTGCTAGGAATGGCTTATTTTCATAAATCAATTTATGTTCTCCCTATAAATTAGATAGCTAAATAGAAGAGGGTAAGAAACGAATAGTGAAGTCTTAATTGTACAAGGGGTTATTTTGGTGCAGTATTTCCATATGTGTAGTATACTTTAATCATTCCTTTTACTGTTCTTTCTCCCTCCTCTTTTAAATTATTTTAACAGGTTTCATTTTTTCATGTGTATTTAAAATACTTCCAATGTGTTTGTCACCCTTGAGCTTTTCACCTCCCCCTCCTCCCACTGTTTCTACTCTAATAGTCCTAGTCTTAGACTTAGGTCATTTTTTTTAAGTCTAGATTCCATATATGAGGAAAAACATAATATTTCTTTCAAAGAATGGCTTATTTCACTTTAACATGAAGATCTTCAGTTCCATTTTCCTGCAAATGACTTCATTCTTTATTTAAAAAAGACTGTATGTTTCCTCATTTGTATTTTATTTTTAATACAATTTTATTGTTATTCTTAAAAGTATTATACAGAGGGTTTACCATTTCATTAGTCAGGCAGTGAGTAGATTTCTTTCTTTTTTTGGAGTTTTTTGTTTTGTTTTACTGGTTATGGGGCTTGAACTGAGGGCCTGGGCACTGTCCCTGAACTCTTTTTGTTCAAGGCTAGTGATCTACCACTTTCAGCCACAGCACTACTGCCAGTTTTCTGGTGGTTAATTGGAGATAAGTCTCACAGACATTGCTTCCTAGGCTGGCTTTGAACTGCGATCCTCAAATCTCAGCCTCCTGAATAGCTAGGTTTACAACTATGAGCCATCAGCACCTGGCTGAGTACATTTCTTTTTTCAAAAATGTCACCCCTTCCTTTGTTCTGCCCCAGTTCCCGCTCCATCCCTGCCCACAAGTTACGTAGTACATAGTTCATGTGAGTGTGGGGGGGACGGGAATACTAGGGATTGAACTCGGGGCTTTATCATTTGAGCCATGTTTTCTAGTTTTTATTATTCATTGATTTTTTTCAGATAGGGTATCATTTTGCCAGGGACTACTTGACCACTGCTCTTCTCAGCCCACTACCCTCCTACCTACACCTTCTCTGTAGCTAGGATTACAGGTGTGTGTCACCATGCCCAGCTTATAATCTTGTGATCAGGTTTCTAGTTCTCCTGCACTAGATAGTGGCTTCCAACCACAATCCTCCCTTACCTGCCTTCTAAGTAGCTGAGATTACAAGTATGAGTCTATCACATGTTTTGTTCATCAGTTGATGAGCACCTAGGCTGGTTCCAGTTTGACTGCTGTGATAGTACTGCTATAAGCATGGGTGTGCAGGTATCTACAGCATGCTCATTTGTATTCCTTCAGCTATTTGCCCAGGAGTGCTATAACAGAATCATAGGGTAGTTCGGACTTTATAGTGTTTTGAGGGACCTCCATACTGACTTGTATAGTGTCTGCACTACTTCACACTCCTAGCAACAATGTATAAGGCATAAGGTTCCTCCTCCACCCCATCCTTGCCAGTGTCTATAGCTGTTTTTGTTGGTGGTGGTAGTCATGGGGCTTGAACTCTGGGCCTGGGTGCTGTCCCTCAGCACTTCAGCTCAAGGCTAGCACTCTACCATTTGAGCCACAGTGCCACTTCCGGTTTTCTGGTGGTTTATTGGAGATGAGTCTCACGGACTTTCCTGCCCAGGCTGGCTTTGAACTATGAACCTCAGATCTCACTCAGCCTCCTGAATAGCTAGGATGACAGGCGTGAGCCATTGGAGCCTGGCTATTGCTGTTTTCTTGATATTAGCTACTGAGACGGGTAAAATGGAATCTCTGTGTTCTTTTGATTTGAGTGTCCCTGGTGGCTATGTTGAACATATTTGCATCTGTTTTTTTTTGGGGGGGGGAAGGGGATAGGGGTGGGCAATTACTGGGACTTGAACTTGGGGCCTAAGTTCTATACCTTAATTTTATCACTCAAGTCTGGCACTGTACCACTTGAACCACAGCTCCACTTGCCAATTTTTGTCAGTCACGGGGCTTGAACTCTGGGCCTGGGTGCTGTCCCTCCACTCTTCAGCTCAAGGTGAGTGCTCTACCACTTGAGCCACAGTGCTACTTCAGTTTTCTGGTGGTTTATTGGAGATACGAGTCTCACTGACATTCTTACCTGGGCTGGCTTTGAACCGTGATCCTCAGATCTCAGCCCCCTGAGTAACCAGGATTACAGGCGTGAGCCACCAGCACCAAGCCCACTTGCTGATTTTTGCTGGTTAATTGGAGATAGAGTCTCACAGACTTTCCTGCCTGGGCTGGCCTTGAACTAGGATCCTCAGGTCTTGGTTTCCTTAGTAGCTGGGATTACACTGGTGCCCAGCTCATCATCTATTTATTGGCCATTTCTATTTGTTTGGAAAACTGTTTAATTCATTTGCCCACTCATTAATTGGGTTGTTCTTTGGCATTTAATATTTGGATCCCTTCTTATATTCTGGAGATTAATCCTTCAGCCAATAAAAAAATAGCCGGCAAAGATTTTTTTTTTTTGGTCCAGTCGTGAGGCCTGAACTCTGGGCCTGGGCACTGTCCCTCAGCTCTTCAGCTCAAGGCTAGTGCTCTACCACTTGAGCCACAGCCTCACTTCCAGCTTTTTTCTGTTTGCTTATGTGGTGCTGAGGAATCGAACCCAGGGCCTCATGCATGCAAGGCAAGCGCTCTACCACTGAGCCACCTTCCCAGCCCCCCGGCAAAGATTTGTCCCCAATTTCAGATTGTCTATTGATTCTGATAAAGGTCTCTCTCACTCTCTTTTTTTTTTTTTTTTTGCTGTGTAGAAGCTTTTTAATTTCACATGATCCCATCATGCAACCTTAATAACTTCTTTAAAGGTTCTATTTCCAGGTACCCTACATAGGAATAGGAGAGCATCACCAATTCCTAGTTGCTCTAAAACAAAGTTCTACCTCTGACTTACACATAGAAACAAATCCAATGTTAAGAGACTTTATGGAAAAATTCAGAGGAAAGCTAAAATGGTTGCCATGTGTGATTTAGTGAAGAACTTAGGGAGAAGGGAAAAAAGGGCTGCACTGCCTAATTATTTGGCTTTTCTTGGTCAGTGGTATATTTGCTTTCTCCATGTGCTATCACAGTAAACACATGACGTCCTTAGAGCTCAAGTTAACCAGTGTGGGCCTCTGGTACATGTTAGGTTACGTTTGTCAGTGCAAGTGCCCAGCCCCATTCACAGGGCATCTCGTCAATGCTCAGCTGCGGCAACTCTACCATAATGCCACTTGGCTTGGCCAAAGTCCAGTTAAGTGGTTGTCCATGGCCCAGTAGATTCACCTGAAATAAAAAAACATAAACACAGATGTTTTCTAATGTATCTCTTTGACTCCTATGTTCTATGGGGAAGGAATAACTGGTATTTCTAAATACACACACACACACACACACACACACTAGACACAGAATATTCATTTTTTTAACCTTTAGCCGTTCACATGCTATTTGAGTAAATGGTATTCACAACCCTATATAAATGCCTCTATCTTACTCCTCTGTTACTCGCAAGAGGGAAATAAAAGTGTGCAGATTGGAGAATAGTGAAGGTTGAATGAAGCATTAGAGTAGGGATTGAAAATGACTGAAATAATCTGCCCAGCGTGGGCCTGCCCATTTCTTCCATGAAACGTTTGAAGAAAGGCTCCCTTCTCCAGGTCAGCCTCCAATCCTCCCCATGTTTGCCAATAACCTCCCAAGAATACATAATAATGTAAGTCTAATCAACAATTACTAGAATTGTTTATTACCCTGTCTCAATTATACTCAGTGAATTCAAGAAAGTAGTTCTCTATAGGTTCTACAGTTACTCTAAGCCATACATTTTTACCTATCAGATGGATCAATTGAAAAAAAAAATGCACTTTGACAGTACTTTTTTTTCCAAAGAGAATCTAGGCAAAAGGTTAATGTTATTGTCTATCTTTTCCAGTTGTACTTTGTTTTGGCAGTACTGGGGTTTGAGTTCCGTACTTTGTACTTGCTTATCTGGTGCTCTGCCATTTGAGTCAAGGCTCTAGCCCTGTTTTTTGTTGTTTATTTGTGTGAAAGAAGTTCTTTTTTTTTTTTTAATCAAAGTCAATTGCTTCCTTTCTGTCAACCTTGTGAGAAATGTTTTCCTGAAGAGATCAAGTGGCTTGGCCCTTGTTAATACATTTTAGCTACATCCTTCTCCTGCTGCATTTTAATTAAGACATCCTGTTAGAATCTCCTTGAATTTTAGTTATACTCTGTTAATGAAGCCACATCCTTTTGCAGGTTGTGAACTTGGGCTTAGCCAGTGCAAGCAGAGGGCTTGACTAAGAATAAAAAGGGAGTGGCCTGCATGCTGAGTGCTTGCTCGGCAGACTTTTTGGCTGAGGATACACCTTTCTGCACTTTGCCTTGCTAGTTCCTTTTTGAGTTGGTGTCCGTATTTCTATGGGACATCTCAAGCCATTTCTAACACTTTAGAGATCGAGTTTAGTGTCTTTGATCATTCAGATCTCAGCCTCAGTAGTTAGAATTATAAGCACAAGCTTTAGCAGCACTGTTAAAGCTATAGTTCAAGGTTAGAGTTGAGCTGTCTCTTTCTGCCTGATAGGTGTTGGAAATTAATTGCAAGAGGTGGCATAGGAAAACTTCCAAATGAATCAACACATTAACTAATGACTACCACCATCTTGACTGGAACAGCAGGGTCATGCCGTCTTACTTTTCTTCA